AGGCTTGTAGACCTTTCCACAGATTATTAAACATGGAAAAAATGAGCTCACTTAAGAAGTTCCTCACATGATTATTTTGATTTGTTATCATCTTTTTGTGAACAACCATATGGTGGAGTCAACACTTTCCATTTCCAGTGATCTTTGGTTTCAAATTCATATTCTCATATAGGAAACAACCCATTGTCTCTATATTTATCCTTAAATATTCCATGATCTTTTTTTCAAACAGCAATACATTTGAAAATGATGGATCTCTTCTTGATCTGGCTGTGTCCTTATAGCAGAAATTCTGGCCACTGTCTCCTGAGTAGTGACCTTGAGATGTGACCTTGGGAAAACCCTTGATCTACCATCTGTGTTGACCATTATTTCCTTCACATTCATTTTAGCGGCAAAGTTAATTATGGCAACAATTTACCTGTAAATAATAGGATATCTTTTTTAACTGTGACATAATATAGTTAGTACTCAAAGCTATCAGAGGAACAAGTAGCATGGTATCAGTATAAACAATTGCTTTCAAATATAATGCATACAAATAAATACTGTTATTACAAATAATAATAGATTATAATCTCAATAATAAATTATTTATAATATATAATATAAATTTTAATTGTTCCATATATTAAACTCCATAAGGCAATAATATTTTTATCTAAAATAATCATTTACTAGTAAAAGATTTATTTTCTTTTTTGTATAGCTAAGAAAATTCCTTCCCATGATCCTGTGGGAAATATTCTCTTCAGGTTCTTTTTCTGTCCCCAATTGTTGCTCTCCTGATCTCCTTAAATATTCCAGTTTGTCTTGTCTTCGGGTTTCTGAAATGAAAGTGAAAGGACTTTGCTGTCTTTTTTTCATCCTACTTGATGAATGATGTCTTGGTGATTCAGAGAGAGACTAGGCCAAGATATAGTACTGAAATGACTCAGTTTCAACCATTTAGTTTTCTTGAAATGTTTGAAGTGGATCCTAAAACTGAGGGGAAATAAAGTGGACAAGATTAAATTAGAAGAATTTACTCTGTGACTTGAATCACGGGTTTTGAGCATTAGTGACCTCCCTGTGCTATGCATAGTCTGTGTTTGTGAAAATAGAGAATGTTTGTTCACTATCAAAAACTATAAAATGTATAGGAGCATTTCAAATATCATGCTCCAATATCAGCATTCTTTAAACAACCTCAAATCACACCAGATTTGAACCAAAATCTCATATTTATGAGACTATTAATAAATAAATTGACATAAATTTAGAAAAACAAAGAATTGTTGGTGAGATAAAGAAAGACTTGTGTCATATTTCTGAATTATTTGGTTCCAACTTGAAGATGAAACACTTAAAAGATGGTTATACTATTAACCTTGAGAAATACATAGAATGAAACAAAACTTCCTTGGACAGGAGGAAGGATGAAAAGAAAGAAGGAAATAAGATGGGAGGAATGAAGGGAGAGAGAGGGAGGGAGAAGGAGGGAGAGAGCGATAGAGAGAGCAAGAGAGAGCGAGAGCGAGAGCGAGAGAGAGAGCGAGAGAGAGAGAGAGAGAGAGAGAGAGAGAGAGAGAGAGAGTTTGCAAATAACAAGTTATTTGAGCCCTGTAG